GGTACCTACCACGGGGATAGCTATCTGCAGCTAGACCAAATCTCTGTGTACTACAATGAAGCCACAGGTGGCAAATATGTTCCTTGTGCTATCCTAGTGGATCTAGAACCTGGGACCATGGACTCTGTTCGCTCAGATCCTTTTGGCCAAATCTTCAGACCAGACAACTTTGTTTTTGGTCAGTCTGGGGCAGGCAACAACTGGGCCAACGGCCACTATACAGAAGGGACTGAGCTGGTTGATTCAGTCCTGGATGTGGTACAGAAGGAGGCAGAGAGCAGTGACTGCCTGCAGGGCTTCCAGCTGACCCACTCACTGGATGGGGGCACAGGTTCTGGAATGGGCACACTCCTTATCAGCAAGATCCGAGAAGAGTATTCTGACTGCATCATGAGTACCTTTAGTGTGGTGCCTTCACCCAAAGTGTCTGATACCATGGTTGAGCCCTATAATGCCACCCTCTCTGTCTATCAGTTGGTAGAGAACACTGATGAGACCTACTGCATTGACAACGAGGCCCTTTACGACATCTGCTTCTGTACCCTAAAGTTGACCACACCAACTTATGGGGACCTGAACCACCTTGTCTCAGCCACCATGAGTGGTGTCACCACCTGCCTCCATTTCCCTGGCCAGCTCAATGCTGACCTTCACAAGCTGGCACTCAACACGGTACCCTTCCCACGTCTCCACTTCTTCATGCCTGGCTTTGCCCCTCTCACCAGCCATGGAAGCCAGCAGTATTGGGCTCTCACTGAGCCAGAACTCACCCAACAGGTCTTTGATGCCAAGAACATGATGGCGGCCTGTGACCCCCGCCATGGCTGATACCTCACTGTGGCTGCTGTCTTCTGTGGACGGGTGTCCATGAAGGAGGTAGATGAGCAGATGCTCAATGTGCAGAACAAGAATAGCAGCTACTTCATCCAATGGATCCCCAACAATGTCAAGACAGCTGTCTGTGACATCCCACCTCGTGGCTTCAAGATGGCAGTCACCTTCATTGGCAACAGCACAGCCATCCAGGAGCTCTTCAAGCACATCTCAGAGCAGTTCACTGCTATGTTCCGCCAGAAGGCATTCCTCCACTGGTATACAGGCGAGGGCATGGACGAGATGGAATTCACCGAGGCTGAGAGCAGCATGAACGACCTCGTCTCTGAGTATCAGCAGTACCAGGATGCCACCGTGGAAGAGGAGGAGAATTTTGGTGAAGAGGCTGAAGAGGAGGCCTACGGCACAGCCCCTATCACTTCAAGCTTCTCAGTCCCCTTAACCTTCTTCCTCAACTACCCCTTTCCTCTCCCTCAGAATTCATGTTTGCTGCCTCTTATCTTTTTTTTTCCTTGGGAGGGGGGTCTAGAACAGTGCCTGGCACATGTAGGCACTCAATAAATACTTGTTTGTTGAATGTCTCCTCTCTCCTTCCACTTTGGGAAACCTAGATTTCTGCATTCTAGGTAACCCTGTATTTCCTTCTGGTGCCTGTTCCTCCAATCTGTCCAGTTAATATTTCCTTCTGTTTGTAAAATAATTCCCTAAGAAGCGGGGTCTCATCCAAATGCCATTTATTTTAGAACCAACTGAATGCTGAATGCAGATGACCATCCTATGCCCAGGCAGTTTGCTGGGGTGGGGGGTGGGGAGTAGAAAGTAAGAGTAGAAGTAACTCCAAGGAAAGGGTTGAGATTTTTCTATCACAGAAATAGTTTTGGAGAGAGAAATCCAGAATGTTTAGTGATAACTTCCAGGTATTTGCAGGTTCCATCTCTCAGCTTCAAGGGAGGTATTAACAGTATTATCTTCATTTTCAATCTCCCTCTAAGCTCTGTCCTTGGGAGCATTTTTTCCCCCAAATGGGATCCTCCCCTCTTATACTTCACCTCACTGATACATTGGGTTCCTTCCTTTCCCCTGATAGGAGAAGGGGATCAGAAAGGAAGAGAGAGACCAGCCTTGGTCCCTAAACTTCCAGAAATGCCCTCCCCATACCCACCTTTTCTTACCCACAAAAACATAACATCCCTGACTTATGTGGGGAGGTATGTATTGTCACCCAAATAGGTCATTTCATTCCTCAGAGAGGGAACAGGACACCCTCTGTTTTTTGCAACATCTCATTTCTTTCTTTTGCTGTTGCCTTTTTTCTTCTTACGTTTGGTTTTGTCCTATCCTATATTTCAGATTTCTATTTTGTGTTGAACTTGCTGCTTTTTTTCATATTGAAAAGATGACATTGCCCCAAGA